GACGCCGCCCTCGGGCGCCACTGCGACGCCGGCGTTTTCGGGGAGAAAAAACACGCCCAGGTTCAATGGAGTGAAGACGGCGCGAGGGGGCGCCCCTGGCGCCCGCAATTTCAATGTTCATCTATAGTCGCGTGGCCGCGGTTCGCACATGTGGGCGTTTCTTTCGAAACGACCTCGCGAACGCCCTGGAACTTTGAATTTGGGGCTGGGAGGGTGGGCCCGCTTTTTACCTAACAGCGAAGATTGATAGGTTTCTAGTGGATTCAAAAGAGCTCACAGATCACTCTACAGGGGGGTCCGGGCAGGTGTTGGGAGTTGCCGGGCGGCAGGGTGCCCCGCTCGTTTTTCACCAACAGTCACACACTTCGTGCTCTTCGATTTCCCAGAACTCCATTCCCAGGCCACATTCTGGAGGGCCGGATGCAACAGTCACACACTTCGTGCTCTTCGAGTTCCCAGAACTCCATTCCCGGGCCACATTTTGGATGCCCGGAGCCAACTGTAGGCCACTTCGTGCTCTTCGATTCCCAGAACTCCATTCCCGGGCCACATTTTGGATGCCCGGAGCCAACTGTAGGCCACTTCGTGCTCTTCGACTTCCCAGAACTCCATTCCCGGGCCACATTTTGGATGCCCGGAGCCAACTGTAGGCCACTTCGTGCTCTTCTACTTCCCAGAACTCCATTCCCGGGCCACATTTTGAATGCCCGGAGCCAACTGTAGGCCACTTCGTGCTTCGAGTTCCCAGAACTCCATTCCCGGGCCACCCAGCCAACTGTAGGCCACTTCCTTCAGTTCCCAGAACTCCATTCCTGGGCATGATTTTGAATGCCCGGAGCCAACTGTAGGCCACTTCGTGTTCTTCTAGTTCCCAGAACTCCATCCTGGGCCACATTTTGAATGCTGAAGCAGGCTGATGCTGCGGCCGAGGCAGGCTGAGGCTGAGGCAGGCTGAGGCTGAGGCCGAGGCTGAAGGCAGACTGAGGCTGAGGCTGAAGCAGACTGAGGCTGAGGCTGAGGCAGGCTGAGGCTGAGGCTGAAGCAGGCTGATGCTGAGGCAGGCTGAGGCTGAGGCTGAGGCTGATGCAGGCTGAGGCTGAGGCAGGCTGAGGCTGAGGCCGAGGCTGAAGGCAGACTGAGGCTGAGGCTGAGGCTGAGGCTGAGGCTGAGGCAGGCTGAGGCTGAGGCTGAGGCTGAGGCTGAGGCTGAGGCAGGCTGAGGCTGAGGCTGTGACTGCGACTGACCGTTGCCGCTGCGACTGTCATCGCGAATGCGACTACGACTGCGAGAACAGCAGAATTCTACAACTGGATTTTCATTTGAATCTTAAGGGGAATGCTTTCAGATATGCTTCTACACATCGCTGTTAGGTTGCTTTGCCGGGATAATTTTTCTGTTTGTTTTGTCTGGGAACCACGGCATGAACCCTGATTGCCATGTGGGCGCCATTGCCGCGGCATGACGGGTGAGAAAGAACGCGCGACCGCGTGGCCCCGCGCCAATTCGGAGGCACAGGGCCGCCTGACTGCCGCGAGTGGCGACGCGGGCCTTCTCGCGCCTGGCCGCTGGGACCCAGACCTCTGGACGTTCCCGAACCGGAGCGAGCTGGGGGCCGACCTCTTTGGAGGGGTCGCGAAAAGCAATGGGCGGATGGGAAGCCGCAGAACGTGCCGCACTCGAGCAAGCCAGGCTAGCACCGACCAGAGCGAGCCCTCCGACATCGAGGAAGGAGGTCCACGAGGCGGCCGGGGGGATCTTGGAAGGCTGGCTGAGGGCAAAGGGGCGGGCAGGCCTCGGCGACGACTTGGGCTGCTTCGTCGAGGGGCAGCCCATCCGCTTCTGTTCGCCAGCGGCACTTCCACGCGAGGCCAGGGGCCTAGACGCGCAGTTGATGCAGGGGCTGGAGACGGGAATCACGGCGGGCAAATTGCGCGAGATGCCCCGACAGGGGGGCCTCTTCGAGGAACTCGCGAATGTGGCGTCTCGACCAGAAGGCGGCCCATTGGGCCGCCCCAGTAGCCATCTACAGCAGCGTAGAAGATCACTTCGACTGGCTCCGAGAGCACCCTGACGGACGAGATGACAGCGAGCAGGATGGTTAAGATGTCCAAGGAGCATTTGCGCCACCGCTTCCATCACTACTACGCTGCGGCGCTGGCAGTCCAGTAAAGCGCGAGCGGCAAGAAGAGACTCGTCCACGACGGCGCGCGCGAGGTCGCCGTGGACCACCGGATTCGACGCCGGAGCCGGCAGGAGATGCCGAGGCCCGCGGAGAAAACAAACATCCGATGTTATACGAGGATTGGCAAGAGGTCATCTTCTCACTCGTCACCGACGTCAAGGGGGCGAATCGGCCTGTCAAGATCCGCGAGGACGAGTGAGGCATGTCCGCCTGCGAGTTCGACGGCGATGCGCATTGCAACACCGTGGGCACCTTTGGCACACGCAGCGCGTCGGACTGGTGAACCAGGCTCCTAGGCGCCGTGCAACGGGCGATGTTTTGCCTGTTGGGAGACGACTGGCCAGTAGAGCAGTTCACCTACGCCGACGAATTGGAGGCGATCGGTGTGGGTGGGGAACGAAGGCGATTGGCAGCACTCTTCATGCTCGTCTTTTTCTGCGTCTTCGGTTTCCCAGCGCAGAGGGCCAAGACTCTGGGCGGCATCGAGGTGGACTGTGCTGGCCTCCATTGCGACGACACCAAGTACGCCCCTCAGAGGCGAGGGTGGCTGCCCGCCTCAAGGAGACGGTCGGACGCGGCGCCGTCCACGCGGGCGAGTTGGCGCGGGGTTTGGGGCGCCTGGGCTTCGCGGCGATTTTCGCGGCATGGGAGAAGCCGCTACTGGGGCCCGCGCGCGCCTGGCTTGTCAACGTTACAAGGAATGACAAGAAGAGGGCACCCCTTCCGCGGGCGACCATGCTCGCGCCGACGTGGGTCGGCAAGCGACTGGCGAGCGGACAAAGATTGGAGCCGGTTCCCATGTTCAGATCCGAGAGCGCCGGGCACTTCCGCTCAGATGCACAGCTGGCGGAGGGAGGGCGCTGCTGGCGCACCGCGGAACGACAGCACGCGAGGGGCTCGCTGGCGCGCGCTGGAAGTAGAGAAGGAATGGTTCCCTTGGGCGTGGGCCAAGGCAAACGACCCGAACGGCGTCATCGCGGCGCTCGAACTCCTCGGCGCGACCCCCCGCGCGACGCTGTCCGCGAAGCCTGGCGGGCGCCGCCGGAGGGCGAACCTCAAGATGACGGGATCGACGGACAACCTGGGGAACGCCTGCGCAGCGAATTGGGCCACGTCGACCAAGTGGCCGCTGAGGGTCCTCCTCGTCGAGCGTTCACGGGAATTGGGGTCGCGCGATATGGCGCGGGGCCTGGTCTTGCCGCCGCGCGAGGGGGGCCAGGGGCCAGACGATCTCTCAGCAACCAGAAGACGACGGGCTTCGACCAGTCTCTCAGAATCCACGTGGCGGCCGCGGGCCCGAAGCGGCGCGTGCTCGACGACGCGGCACAGGTCCCCCAGGGGCATCGCGAGTCGATCGTCGAGGACGGGGCGGCCGCCAAAGGCAGGGCGCCCGCGGCAGAGCGCGGACAGAGGGGCCGCGGGCGCACTCGCCCGACGCCGCGGTCACAGACGTCGCGCGCGACATCGCGCGGGCGGAGCTGGAGGCGGCGGCGGCGGCCCCGCGCGACCATTCAGGGTGAGGGCCTGGCGCGATGTCCTATGGCGTTGGTCTTGGCCCGCGCCCTCAGGCGGGCGCCGCCGCGGGGCGGGCGCCTCCCCTCGCGCCCCGGGCCCTGCCTGCGTGGCGGGGTGAGGAGGGCGAGGTGCGACTGATGGGCCCAGACGCAAGCGGCGTCCTGCGGGGGGGCCCCGGGAACCGAACCCTCCGCGCACCTGGGTTTCCGCCCTTCCTCCTTGGCGCCCCAATTCCATCGCTGAAGGGGGGCGTCAAGTTCTTGGGAGTGGCTCGGGCCCCTGCGCTACAGGTCCCCCGTCCCCGCCACCCGTCGCACAGGCATCAGCGTCATCCCGCCCCTGTTTACCGCCGGCGCACCGCTTGTACGGCTTTTCGAGGATGCGCCTTGGTGTGCCAACACGAATGTGCATGTTCTCACTGTGCCCGATGCCTGTGGCGATTTGGGCACAGACGCTCGAACGATTTTGAGTAACCCACCCGCCCTCCTGGGGCATCAAGTTCCTGGGAGTGGTTCGGGCCCCTGCGCTGCCCCCGTCGCCACAACCCGTAAACAAGAGGCATCAACGTCCGCCCCCGCCTTCTTTTACCGTCGCACCGCCTGCCCGACGCTCACTTTCTGGGCTGCCGTGCCTAAAGCGCTTTGGTCGAGGCAGGAGCGAAACGGACCAAACGGGAGGAAAAACCGAGGTCACCCGCGGGGGTGCGAAGATAATCGCGCTTCGCGCGTCGCGGTGTGGGTCAGGGCGTTTGCTTTGCCCCAGAGAGGGGCGGCGCGAGCATGCTGGGCTTCGAGGGCGCGAAGCTGATCGTGGGTCTCCTATCGCGGGGCGCGTGGCGCGAAGTTTGGTGACCGAAACGGCAACGAATCGGCAACACCCCAACATACTTATACTATATGTGCGTCGCCCCCCAGGGGCGACGCGCGCACCGAGAAATCTTATAGTAGATGCGTCGTGGCGGGCGCTTTCTGGCCACACCGCTCGGGAAACGATATACTACAAGATGGGTATACTATATGTTCGGGTCGGACGCGCGCCTCCAAGGAGGACATATAGTATTAGTATGTCCATGTGCGTCCCACGGAGGGGGTGGTGCCCTCTTGGGGAAGCCAGCGCGCGGGAGGCCGCTGGCTTTGCCCACCCACGACGGTCGCGGCTCTCCGAGGCTCCTGCTTCCCAGGCGCCTGAGATTCCTCCTCCTCCTCCTCCTCCTCCTCCTCCTCCTCCTCCTCCTCCTGTAGTATATCCCTAAGCTCCAAGGAGGACATACAGTATTAGTATGTCCATGCGCGTCCCAACTAAGGCCCCGTCCACGTGCGACGGGCAGCTGCGCGGCCCGGGCACCCAGGAGTACACAGACAAGCACGAGCAGGCGGAGGAGGACGCGCGGCAGTCGAGCGGCATATACGACAGGCAGTCAGAGCCCCGAATCATCAGGGGTAACTCGGGTCAGGGCTAACTCGGGTTCGTTTTTCGGGATTCCGAACCCGCGTTACCCCGGACCCGAGTTACCCCGGATAACTCGGGCGCCCAGAGCCCCGAATCATCAGGGGTAACTCGGGTCAGGGATAACTCGGGTTCGCTTTTTCGGGAACCCGAACCCGAGTTACCCCGGACCCGAGTTACCCCGGATAACTCGGGCGCCCAAACAGGCAGAGGCTCCTGTTGCTGTGCGTGCTGGTGAAGTACGTGGGCCGCGTGCTGAAGGCGCCCCTCCAGCGCAGGCTGAAAACGGTCCCGAACCGCGACCTGGACATGGCCGAGGTGGTGCTGCTGTACGAGTTCGTGAAACTCATCAACAACATCGTGGTGTCCTTCCTCGAAATCGAGCTCCGATGGGCGCCGCCGCCGCACTCCGCCGGGACCCCGCGCGACAGTGGCCTTGCAGCCAGCGGCCGCAAGACGGGGTCTCTGTCCCGGCAGGAGCTCGCAGTTGGGCTACTTAAGCAACGAAAGGATCGAGGTCCGAAGTTTTCGGACGTTTTCGTCGGTTCTCAACGGTTTTCCCGTTCGGGATGCCTTCCAGCGGCTGCGCCTCGCAGAGAGCATTTTGGGGGGGCCCGGGTCGTCCCGAACGGCCTTTGGAGGGCCGAGCTGTAGTTCGAAAGCCACCAAGTGGTCAGAGGAGAGCCATTTGAGACAGCGAACGGCGGCAGTGGACCTTTGGTGGGCCCCTCGTCGCCGTGGTTGGACCGAGCTCGGAAAGCATTTCGACCCCAGGAGGGGTCCGGGGACCCATTTTGACTTGGCGCTGCCGCAATTCGCTCTGCTCCGAGGAGCGCATGCAGATCTTCACCGCGATGATCCCTTCGACAACCCTGAAGCTTCTGGTCCACGTCCTGCTCTTCGGCATGCACCAGGAGGCAGTCTTCTTCCAGCGCCAAATATCGAAGACGCCTCCGGCAAATAACCGCCATCCATTGCCTTTTGGAAGTGCCTATGCGGCCGAACGTTGTGGCCAGAGCTCGGCCAAGCTATCGAACTGTGTGTCCCACCAGCCGTTGTGGGAACCCGTCTTGTACCACTTGGGGGAGGAAGAGGAATACCTAATGATAACGGGACGGGGGAGGAGGAGGAGGAGGAGGAGGAGGAGGAGGAGAGAGGAGGAGGAGGAGTAGGAGAGAGGAGGAGGAGGAGGGAGGAAGAGGAGGAGAGGAGGAGAGAGGAGAGGGAGGAGGAGGAGGAGGAGGAGGAAAAGGAGGAAAGGAGGAAAAGGAGGAAAAGGAGGAAAGGAGGAGGAGAGGAGAGGAGGAGGAGGGGAGGATGAGGAGCAGGAGTAGGAGCAGACCAGACCAGGACCAGACCAGGACCAGGGCCCAGGGGACCAGGAGCAGGACCAGGACCAGGAAGAGGAACAGGAGCAGGAACAGGAGGAGGAGGAGGAGGAGAAGGAAGAGGAGGAGGAGGGCTCTTGCGAGTTTTTGGGGTACTCTCGGGGCCTCCCGGGCGCCTCCTGGGGGCCTTTGGAGGCCTCCTTGGGGTGCTGCTCGGCCGTCTGAGGGCGTTCCGGCGTTCCTGTCCCGCCCGCCTGACGCTGTCGGAAGGAAGCCGTCTTGGGGGCCTCGCTGGTCTAGGCCTCCTCGTCGTCGTTCCTCCTCTTCCTCCTCCTCCTCCTCTTCCTCCTCCTCCTCCTCCCCCTCCTCCTCCCCCTTCTCCTCCTCCTCCTCCTCCTCCTCCGGAGTAGATGGGGTCGGAGGATCGTGCCGCCCGCGTCGCTGATGCATCACCAATGCGGTTCGATGTGGAGCCCGATTTGCTTCACGTCGACGTCGCGATGCATCGTCGACATCGACGATGCATCGCCAGTGCATCGCCGGTGCATCGCCGATACATCGCCGATGTATCGCCGACGTATCGCCGATGCGGCGCGATCCTCCGACCCCATCTACTCCGACCCCATCTGGGAGGCCTCCAGCTGGGCCGACTTGGGATCCTCTTGGGGCGCTTCAGGGCCGTCCTGGAGGCCATCTTGGCAAGGACCGACCACAACGCTGTTCAATTAGGTTTTGGCCCTTGTCTGGTGTTTCGTTTTGCTGTTCGTTGTGCTTCCGTTGTGCTGCTCGTTCGTGTGTTTCAAGCGTTTGAAGGTGAAACGTTTTTGTTGAGCGCGTTTCGTTGTTCCTTTCGTTTTGTCGCGATTCCAAGTTGCGTTTCGTTATTCGTTGTGTGTTGCTCCGTTTGTTCTGCGGTTCGTTTCGTTGTTCGTTTCGTGTCGCACCGCCGTCGTCTTCCGATGTTAGAAAGAGCGTGTTCTACCGCTGCTGGCGGAAAACCGGGGGGGGTCACTACCGGTTCGAACCCCTCCCCCCCCCCCCCCCCCCCCTCCGGAACCGGGGGGGTCCTATATATACCGGTTCGAACCCCTCCCCCCCCCCCCCCCCCCCCTTGCTCATCATGAAAAGGGGGGGGGGTCACTACCGGTTCGAACCCCTCCCCCCCCCCCCCCTCGAAAACCGGGGGGGGTCACTACCGGTTCGAACCCCCCCCCCCTCGAAAACCGAGTGGGGGTGCGGACAGTGGTGGGGACGGTGTTGGTGGGGACAGTGGTGCGGGGATAGCGGGACAGTGGTGGGGACAGTGGGACAGTGGGACAGTGGTGGGGACGGTAGTACGTGGTGGGGACAGTGGTGGGGACAATGGTGGGAACAGGGGGGACAGTGGACAGTGGTGGTGACGGTGGTGGTGGGGACAGTGGTGTGGGGACAATGGGAATGAGGTGGAAACAGTGGGACAGTGGAGGGTACAATGGTGGTGGGGACAGTGGTGAAGGCGGTGGCGAGGACGGCGGTGGGACAAGGGGACAAAGGTACAGTGGGGACAGTGGTGGGGACAGTGGGGACAGTGGTGGGAACAGTGGGACAGCTCAGTGGGACAGCGGAGGAGTCAGTGGGACAGCGGGGACAGTGGGGATAGTCGGGCAGTGGTTGGGGCCGTGGAGACAGTGGGGAGAGTGGAACCGTGGTGAACAGTTCTG